TCTTAGTTCTTATTGCCTATGGAGGGGTATCAAGTGTATCAATTTTCTATCCCCAAATTTCTGCTCGCCACCCCACCTATGTCACTTATCCTTGTCGATATGTCGCATGTCTGCTGGATATGTCCTTTCAGGACATGATTTCGAAAAGATCTGCCTGTTGCTGCTTTTGTTCCCATTCTATTCGAACTCAGGTCGGGGTGGATATTCTCATCCGAGTTGTGGTTGTTGTACTTGTTATCAAACGATTCCTTGAACATCCATCGTGAACGTGCTTATGTGCTCACGACTATATCAAATCTATACTCAAGGGACAAGAATTGCTAATGAAAACAACCAGACTGTCAAGCTTACGGCGAAATATCTTCACTGGGTCTTCCCCATTGATCAATATGTCGCCCTCGGTGAAGAACAGTCACTTCAAACTGCTCCAGCAGTTCAAGCCTGATTACTCGCCGAGCGAGTTCACTCAGTATGAATCACAGCGCACCGGCATGAGAGTGGTCGTTATCGACCAGCCGGGTCCCAAAGTGAACGGTTACTTTGTGCTTGCCACCGAAATCCACGATGATTCGGGTGCTCCTCACACTCTGGAGCACTTGTGCTTCATGGGTTCCCGCAATTACCGCTACAAGGGCTTCCTGGACAAGCTGGCTACCCGCGTGTACTCCAGCACCAATGCCTGGACGGCAACTGATCACACTGCCTACACTCTGGATACTGCAGGCTGGGAAGGCTTCGCTCGTATCCTGCCAATCTACCTGGAGCATGTGATTGCTCCTACTCTGACTGACGAAGGCTGCTACACTGAAGTTCACCACGTCGATGGCTCTGGAAATGATGCCGGTGTCGTGTATTCCGAGATGCAGGGTGTGCAGAACAATGCCGCTGAGCTGATCGACCTGGCTGCCCGGCGATTGACCTACCCGCCTGGTGTGGGCTTCCGCTATGAGACAGGAGGTATGATGGAACAGCTTCGTGTCTTGCCTGCGGAACGCATTCGCGAGTTCCATCGTGAGATGTATCAGCCCAAGAACCTGTGCCTGATCCTCACCGGAGAAGTTGATCAGGACAACATGTTGGATATCTTGGATAAGTTCGAGGACACTATCTTGGATGTCATTCCTAGCCCAGAGGCACCATTTAAGAGACCTTGGGTGGATTCCAAGCGGGCTCCCTACTTGGAGAAATCCGTTATTCAGAAGGTTGAGTTCCCCGAGGAGGATGAATCATTTGGTGAAATCGAAATTCGATTCATGGGACCCGACTGCACTGATCCCATCCTATGTAAGGCCCAAAACCCCACCATTTGAGATAAAATACTTACGGTATCATAGCCGGGGCGCTTAATGTGTCCCTTTTGTACCTGGCCGGTTCATCTGCAGCTCTGCTAGAGAACATCATTGTTGAGAAAGAACAACTCGCTAGTGCCGTTTACTATGCAACTGAGGACCACCCTAGCATGGAGGTTCGTTTCACGTTGACCAGCGTGGAAACAGAAAAGTTGGAGGACGTTGAGAAGAGATTCTTTGAGATCCTCCAAAATGCGATGGCCAAGGAATTGGATCTGAAGTACTTGAAAGAGTGTATCGCCCGACAGCGCCGAACCTGGAAGTTCTCGACTGAGTCTTCTGCCTCTTCGTTCGCAGAGTACGTTATCTCTGATTTCCTGTTCGGAAGGCGCGATGGCTCGACTTTGATGGATGTCGCAACTCTGAAGGAATATGATGTCCTTGAGACCTGGTCCGAGGACCAGTGGCGCTCTTTCATCAAGAAATGGATCTCGGATGCGGCCCATGTCACTATTTTGGGTATCCCGTCCCAGAAGATGTCCGCCACACTGAAAAAGGACGAGGAGGACCGGGCCGCTGCGCAGAAGGAGCGTCTCGGCGAGAAGGGCCTGAAGGAGCTTGCCGACAAACTCGAAAAGGCCAAGGCAGAGAACGACAAGGAGATTCCGCAGGAATTGCTAGAGAAGTTCGCTATCCCCGGAACTGAGTCAATCCACTTCATGGAGACCAGTACGGCTCGTTCAGGTGCTGCCCTGAAGGCTGGACGCCCCGACAACAAGGTCCAACCCATTGTTGATGCCGACAAGTCTGACCAGTCCCTTTTCATCCACTTCGAGCACATCCCTAGTAGCTTTGTCCAGCTTTCGGTTCTCATCTCAGCTGACTCTGTTCCCGTTCAGTTGCGTCCATTGCTGTCCATCTACACCGAGGCGTTCTTCAACATTCCGGTGCAGCGTGATGGCAAGACAATTGACTTTGAGCAGGTCGTAGTGGAATTAGAGAGAGACACCGTCGGATACTCGATGGAGACTGCTCGCGGTCTTGGAAACTCGGAGATGCTCCGTATCTCCTTCCAGGTCGAGCTGGAGAAGTATGCGAACGCCGTCGCCTGGCTGCAGGAGCTGTGCTGGAAGTCCGTCTTCGACGTGGAGAGACTCCGGGCTATCAACTCCCGTCTCTTGGCCGATGTGCCCGACTCCAAGCGCAGTGGTGACGATATGCTTGCTGCTGCACATGTGATGGTTCACTACGCGGAGGAGTCGATCACCCGTGCTCGTTCTACTTTGGTCAAGGCTCGTTACCTCAAGCGCGTCAAGCGTCTGCTCGCTGAGAAGCCCGAGGAAATCGTGAGCCGCATGGAGGAGATCCGCAACTCGCTCTTCCAGCCCGACAACGTGCGCATCATTGTCATTGCCGACCTCGAGAAACTCCAGAACCCTGTCTCGGCCTGGAAGCCCTTCGCCGAGACCCTGGGCACCAGCACTGAGTTGCGGCCTATCACTGACCGGCGATCCCGGCTGAGCGATGCCGGCAAGAACATTGGCGGCAAGTCTTACATTGTCCCCATGCCGACTGTCGACTCGTCTTTCGCCTACGCCACTGCCCGTGGTCTGGACTCGTACGATTCCCCAGACCTGCCCGCACTGCTGGTTGCGATTTCGTACATGAACGCTGTCGAGGGTCCCCTCTGGGTTGCAGTCCGCGGCACCGGTCTCGCGTACGGCACTAACTTCGGTTACAACATCGACACTGGCTTTGTCAACTTCGACGTGTACCGGTCCCCGAACGCCCACAAGGCGTTCGAGTCTAGCAAGCTGATTGTTGAGAACTATCTGTCGGGTGCTACGCCTTTCGATCCTTTGATGCTGGAGGGTGCTATCAGCAGCATCGTGGTCAACTACGCCAATGAGCAGATGACTGCCGCCAATGCTGCCCAGGGCAGTTTCATCCGCCAGGTCGTGCGCAACTTGCCCAGCGACTATAAGGAGAAGATGCTCAAGAATGTGCGCGCTATCACCACCGACCAAATCAAGGGTGCTCTGCGTAAGATCATCTTGCCGTTGTTTGATCCGAAAACTGCAAACATGGTTGTCACCTGCGCGACTGTGCTGGAAGAGGTGAGTTGTTCCCCGGTCTTCAATTTGTAGATATGGATTGCTAACTTTTGATTGCGAATAGACCATCAAGCAAGGCTTTGAAACTTCGGGCTTCACCCCCACAGTTCAGCCTCTTAAGGAATTCGAGGACGACTATGGTCTGAAGGTTGGCGACGAGGAAGAAGAAGATGAGGATGATGACGAAGATGATGACGAGGACTCCGAGACCGGATCGGAGGATAGCGACGACGAAAGTGACGACGAGTGATGTGTTTGATGAACGATCTATACATGGGTAGCGAGGTAGACCACATAGACGGAATTGTGGTGTCAAGAGACTCTACATAACCTAGACAGTGATGAATCTACTCTTTTACTTGCTGCAAACAAGCTGCAACTCCGTAAACACCGAGCACTCGACTGAAACAAACAAAGCTGAAAAATTCGCACTATATGAAATGTAGTCACACACATCCTCAAGAGAGGTAAATATGGTACACGCCAGACAAGACCCGCCAGCAACCGTCTTGCCTGAACCCGGATCCAATCTTGAAGACTGCAATAGTTCCAAGAATGGATAAATCGGTAATTCCCCCCTACTTCCTTCCCACCATCGCCGTGAGCCGGTATGGATTCCAATCAATCTAACCCACCCCGTTCCTCTGTGGTATAAATCCCGTCATCTTCCACAACCCCGAACGATTCAAAGGTCGGAACCGAAAAGAATAAAATTACCAACTCAACTCCTTCCGGCCCTTAAGAGTCCTCCGGATAAGAGTCTTGCGCCCATTTCTATCCTTCTTGCGCGCCAGGTATCCATGGCGGCGCTTTTGGACCCGTCGTGACGGGCGGAACGTCACACGGCGCACGCCTAAGGAGGCACTTGCGGAGAACGAGCGGGACTGCGAGGGTGCCTTCTGGGAGAGGAGTGATGATAGGGGTGAGAAGGCGGAGGCGGTTGCGGTTGTGGTTGGCGAGGAGAGGCGGGCGCCGAGTGTTCGCGAGGGTTGGAAGCGGGTTGGCGTGGAGAGGAGGGAGGAAAAGGATCGGGATGAGAGCATTGTGGAGGGTGTGCTTAGTTGTTGCGGGATTTGGGCGAATCTGTTGGCGGGTGGAGTAGAGCTGTTAGCTGTCTGTTTGGTTTCGAGACTGGAAAGGTTGTTGACTGCTTTGCGTACCTGTTCATCGGGGTCCGCATGGTTGATGTGGTAGCCCGGAAGGTTGAGGGCAAGGCCCTGGCGCGGAGGCAGAACATTTTGAGGACCCTGGCGTTGTTTGGAGGGCAATTGAGGTGGGGTGGGAGAGCTTTCTGAAGTTGGAGATCGAGTGAGGCCTGGTGGACAAGACGCGGCGTCGGAAGACAGAAAATTAAGCGCGGAGCCGCTGGCACGGACCCGCCTAGAGATGTATGGCTACAATATTGTACGGTAATTACTTGGGATATATAGAGGATGAAATTGGGTTGGTTTTGAGTGTAGAATCTACTTACAGTCCTACAACTACCATATAACTATGTTCGTTTAGCTATCTAAATATCGAACTATAGTTTCAGCGCATCCCGTTAAGAAGACCTACCCGATCGGGACTAGCGTCACCGAACTTTTTTGATCTCGAGATGCGAAATGCTGAAACGTCGCTCGTGCAACTCTCCGTCCTGCTCGCAAGTCACACCGAACTCGAGAGAACCTCTACTCCCAGCTCTGACAATCTCACCACCGGGACAAAACCACTCCATAATCGCCGCCCCCCACCGCCCTACAACCTCAAAAATCACCCTCTACACCCGGCGAAGAATACCAATTCCACCAAAATGGCAACCCAAGGCCCCCAGGCCCTGCCCCCAGTCACAGTGCAAAGCACACAGACCATCAGCCAGTCCGCAGCGCAGGAATTCCTAGCCGCCTACCTGGACCGCGCCGCGACAGACCCATCGCTGCAACCCAACGCCAGCATCAGTGAGCACGGCCCCGTCTCACGGACGACCGCAGCAGCGCCGAACCTGATCCTCCACAACCTGAAGCGTGTGCAAGCGGGTCTGGCTGGCGAGCTCCTCGGTCGCGATCTAACTGTCGCGAAGCAGAACCCAGGAGAGGATTATTTGGATGTTGCTGCGGGTATTCCGCAGACCAACAACCATGATCAGCTGGACGATAGCAATGATCTTATCATGAATGACGCCGAGTTTGGTATGGAGGCTGAGGCTTTCGCGGATCAGGAGGGCGGTATTGATAAGGAAGAGCGCAAGCGGAAGAAGAAGGAGAGACGGTTGGCGGAGAAGAAGGGCAAGGCCCAGGCGAAGGCTGAAGAATCCGATTGAGTGTGGTGTGGGTATATATTTGGTTGTGGGCGTTGCTGCATTGGGTCGGAGTCTCTTTTCTTTCATTCGTTCTATTGCTCTATTACTCTGGGCTGGGTTGGGTTTTGGACGTACAAAAAAGTACTGCTCGCATTTCATGTCTGGACAAAAAGTGTCATTTAGAGTTTAGACGGATTGCTACAATCCAATCAATACATAATGGAACATTTCCAAGCCTCGCTTTTGCTTCTCAAAATTGGTGCTCCAACATGTCCCTGGCACAAAAAAGTCATGTCCATATCATATGAAGATCGCCAGCATAACACGCATCCGGTTTACAGCTCGCGGTCCGCGGCCTTGACGGGCTTCTCACTGTCCTCCTCCTTGCTGCTGGTAACCTTACCACCCTTCCAGCCAAGCGCAGCGAGACGCTCGGTGAGAATGGGGTGGGAGTAGTGGTAGCTAGCATAAATCGGATCGGCATCCATAGTGCTCAGGTTCTGGATCTGGAGCTTCAGGAGCGAGGAAGCGAGCTTGTCGGAGTAACCAAGGTTCTGGGCAAATGTATCTGTGGAATATTGTTAGTAAACCTAATGGTATATGTGATAGATCGAACGGAACATACCGGCCTCGAATTCGAACTTCCGGCTGAGGATATTCATGAGAAGCTTCACGACAGCATCCATAGGAGCCAGGGCGTCGGAGAAGAGCAGGAAACCAATCATGATAGGCTGTTCGTTGATGAATCCGAAGGACTGGTAAAGCGACTTGTTGTTGACAAAGACAGAGAACAGAGCGAAGATGTAGAACATGTGGGCCTAAATTGCATAGTTAGTGATAATTCACCAAAAGGGCAAATGAGCAAATTCGTACCTGGGCAATGCCGAACAGCTTGGTGGTGTGGCTGAGGCTCCAGTGGCCAAGCTCATGGCCCAGCACAGCAACAACCTCCTCGGGCTCGGTCTTCTCAATCAGAGTATCGTAGATGACAATGTGCTTCTTCCATGGCAGACCGTAGAAGTAGGCATTGCTGTGGGCACTACGCTTGCTGCCGTCAATGACATGCAGCTCGGAGAGAGGGAAGTTGAGTCTCTTGGCCAGGTTCTCGACACCGGTCTTGAGTTCGCCGGGCTGAAGAGGCGAGAGCTTGTTGAACAGAGGCAGAATCGCAATGGGGTAGATAGTAATGGCGAAGACCTGAAGGAAGACACCGAAGAGCCAGAGGTAGTAGTAGAACGAGCTGTCAAACTTCTGAACAATCTTAAGAATGGCAGTGATAATAGGAGTTCCCAAAACAATGCCAAGCATCTGACCCTTGAGCATATCCGTAACCCAAAGCTTGACCGTCTGCTTATTGAAACCGAACTTCTCCTCGAGCACAAACGTGTTGTAGTAGGAGGTGGGCAGCGAGAGGATAGTGCTTAGAATGTTGAAACCGAAGAAGAATACCAATGTTTGACAGATTTCGCCTTGGAAGCGACCGGGGAGGTACCGAGCCAGCACCAAACCACTGAGGCCCCAGATCTTGGGGAGGACATCGCCGTAAATGAATGCAAGGTTTTGGATTTGACCGTAAAGACCGGAGACGAAGCTGAACTTGGCCTTTGCGCGACCGTATGCCTATAATAATATTCCAATGAGCCTCTGTCTATGGTATAATGCTCGGTCATCGGGGCCATACCTGACTCTGGTCGAAGACCTTCTGGGTAACCTCCCCTGCGAGAACCTGGGGAGGCTTTGTTCGTTGCAAAAACTTGTATTGCCTAAGTGAGAGGAAACCTTCAAGGACGAACTGGCCCAGTGAAAAGCCAACAAGCACGTTCTTCCATGGGAAGAGCGGGCGATCCAGCAAGCGCGCCAATTGCTAGAGGGAGACAGTCATTAGCGACGTGGCCACGGGAGAAAGCATATTCACCATGTAAACATGATAATATCTCAATCAAGTCAACTTACCTCGAGGATATACATGATTGAAATCGCGCAACTAGGCGAAGAAAGAGGACGTTGTTCAAGGCAGAAGATGCTACTTTGTTATTATCGGCAGCCTTAGTCAGACCTCATGCATGACTCGGGATCATTCCATGGGGCCCTACCTAACGCAACGTGGATCTCAGGAATTGGGTCTATTAATTAATTAATTAGAGAGTTGTTTATTTTAGGTCAAATATCTAAGATGCGATATGAGGAGTAAATAGGAGTAAATTGGATTTTAAACATTTAAGGTAAATAACTTGTGCTGATGATGCATTGCTGAAAGTCTTCGGGGCTGCTATAACGGTCGATCAGGACTGTACTCGAGGAATGTAGATGCCATCTATATTTGAATGCTAGTATCGCTTGAGTCTCTCTGTATATAACAATGCTTGGTGGCTTAGTGCGCATGGTCATCACGTTGCGAGGTATGACGAGTGGTCGTAGTCGATGTCGTGGAATATATACATCCCGACATGCGAACTATATATATAGTGGGAGCATCTACCCTCATTCGCAAATGTTTTTTATTTTACCAGACGAAGAGCCCACTTGTAAGTCGATTAAACATGCAGAAGCTCTTAAATTGTGCCGGCCCTAATTTCCCTGCATTTTAAACCACAGACCTGTATAGGCCTATCTACATAAGATCCGATGATGCAGACAAAAAAATGAGCAATGAACAGGAAACCTCTTGAAAACAACTCCTTCGTACGATGGAAATAAAAAGCACATATCTTATTCGCCGACTTCACCTGCATCCCGTTCGTCGTCCGTCCCTCAGATCAAACCCTAGCACGCAGTCGCGGACCAAATAAAGTGGTCGCTGACATGCATGAGGCAGGGAAACAAACCGATCAAGGTGGCGACAATACAGGATTGCATGTCTCCTCCATCTCTCTATTCAGTCGGGGGGAATCAGTTAAATCACGTCTTTAATTTTCCGACTCGTCATGACCATAAACTTTTTTGCAATCATAGATCGCAAGACTCGTGTTCGAGGGTTGGTGGGGTGAGATCGTTGTCCGGGGATATAGCAAAGATTTATGTGCAAATCATATTCTCCGACATAACGGGCCTCATTCCCCAAGCTCCCCATTTCGAACTGGGAAATCGTTCAAAGGATTGCTTTACTGCTGCACAGGCTCGAGGGTGTTACCACTGCGAATTGAAATAGTCAGCATTTGTCACCAGAAGTAATACCAAACCCGTAAACTTACGCAACAATGTTGGCCCATCCAATCAAACGCCAGTGCTTCTCAATTCTGCGACTAATGGCGATCTTCTCGCCAACCTCAGTACAGGCGGGACTGGTCAAGCTGAGCTTAGCGGCATCGGCCTTGACACCGAGGACCTTAGCACCAGTAGCGGTGGAACCGATGTTAACCATCAGGACTTCGTTCTTGGCAAGCTTGGCAACCTTGGCCTGCTTGCCGTCGGCGGTCTTGACACCCAGAAGGCGGCGGAGCAGGAAGTAGTTGACCTCAATCTCAGTGTAGATGGCAGGGAGACGGCCACGGTGGCCGAGAACGAAACCGACAAGACGATCGGCACGGCAAAGAGTGGGGTCGACACGGGTACCGACACCGATCAAACCACCGGGAACGGCAAACTTGAGGTCATTGTGCTCAGCGAAGAGAGACACAATGCGGGAGAAAATGGGACGGCACTGGATCTTGCCCTGCTCGTCCTTGGTGACGAGACCGGGGCGGATCTCGATCTCATCGTTCAGCTTTACGACACCGGTAAGGATGGAACCACCGGCAACACCACCCTTGAGCTCATCGATCTCAGCACCGGGCTTGTTGACATCGAATGAACGAATGATCATCATGTGAGGCGTAGCCTCGAAGTTGCGAAGAGGAATAGGGATCGTCTGGACAAGTGCCTCATTGACAGCATCGATGTTGTACTTCAGCTGTGCGGAAATGGGGATAACGGGCGAGCCATCAGCAACGGTACCACGGATGAACTTGAGAATCGACTGGTAGTGTTCGAGGGCATTATCGCTTCGCATGAGGTCAACTGTTTTATTTCCAAACGTCAGTGCCTCGTTTCATCGGCAGTTTGCAAGAAATATGACTTTACCCTTATTTTGGAGAATGACAATGTGGTTGAGCTTCATGATCTCAATGGCGGCCAAATGCTCCGAAGTCTGCGGTTGGGGGCAAGTTTCGTTTCCGGCAATCAAGAGGAGAGCGGCATCCTAGTAAACCGATGTTAGCTTATCACCAATCCCTTGAAATCCCAATTGCTGCAGTGGGGGATGAAACATACCATGACCGCGGCTCCTGAAAGCATAGTGCTCATCTGTGCAAAGCTGATTAGCATCAACTCCCAAAAGAGAAGCTGAATTTCCCAAGATGCGCAAGGGTATGAATACTAACCAGAATATCGTGACCTATGATTGAAGATTAGCGGTGTTCCAACTTTGGACAGAGACAGATCTAGCGAACATACCAGGGCAATCGACGAAACTTTTTTTTTGGAATCGAAGGTTAGCTTATACTCAATAAATAAAGGGGGAACCTCTAGGTTTGAGGTAGACTGGGGATTGATGATACCTGAGGTGACGCTGTATCAGAGGTTAGATTAGGATTACTTGAGGAAAGGCTCTGAGTTGGACTTCAGAGGGGACGGAGCAGGAGTACATACCAGCAACTGGTAACGGCCTTGACATCCTTCGCGCTCACAAGGCGGGTCAATCTCCTTCTCACTCTTGAAACTCTTGTAACATGTGGGCCGAGGGCACTCGGGGCTGTCACACTTGTAGATCTTCGCGTTGGCGTAACCAAGCTTAATGGTAATGTTGCGCTCAAGCTCGTTCTTGAAGCGGACGGTTTGAACCTCAGAAATGGCCTTGACGACGGTGGATTTGCCGCTAGAATTATATTAGTATGCGTGTAGGAAGAGAAATGCGAGAGAGGGTGTCTCACTGAGCGACATGTCCGATCGTGCCTTATAATCACGTCAGTAAATTTGTTACATAGCAAAATGGAACCCAATGAATGAAGTGCATTTCTGAACGCAGAGACTTTCAAAAATCGACA